TTCTCTTTGTAGCTGCTTAGTATGCATGCGCAGGAAAAAGATTAATGCAAAATGTAGTCAAAAGAAAAGTGATAAGACAGAGCGATGAAATTTGAAGTCTAATTCTAAGAATGCAAAGAAAATTGCATTATGGTTTAATGAAAACATTCATGACACAGAAGTGACAGACAGACAGTCCACTATATAAGAAAAGTTTTATAAAACAGTGATATTTTCCATATTGTTAGTTACACCAGCTGTTGATTGAAAATCAGGAATTATAACAGCATAACTATTTTTGGAGTCTGGAGTTTCTAGCCAAGGTTGCGGAGATACAGAGACATGTAAATATTCCAATGAATTGAGAAGTCGTTGTTTTATATTCCAAATTATGAACAACATTATTACATACAGCCATAAAGAGAAAGACGTGGCTTTTAAATACATTCAGTACAGTACAATGCAGTACACTGCAGCATATATTTTAACTAGCTCATATTTTTTCCTAAACAGAGTTGAAATTATACTACCCTTTTAGAAAAAGGGACAACAGATGGTTATACATACTTTGCTTCTCTAAATCCTCTGCAAAAATAAATATTTATAAAATAATTAAAAATAATATATATGTAAGATATATCAGGGCAAAATAACATTGTAAATATATAGGATCTCTGATAACTTTTAAACTGAAATTATTAAAGGCTTATTTAAATAAAATGTTAAATACATTTACAGCTTTAAATGTGACCAAAAGATACTAAATGATGTGTTAAGCAGCCAGCCCAATTCACTAAAATTGCATAAGTATTCTACTATTTAAAGTACACAATTCCTCCACATAATGACTTTGCTTACTCCACCAATTTTAAAAGGGAAAGCTTACTTAAATCAGTGGTACTATCCCACTGTACCTGTAGTGCTAGCAGTAAGGAAATTAGAACATTTTACTGACTGTAATCAGATCAGACACATGTAATCTCAGTGAATTTCATAAACTAGATTTTCATAAAAAAAAATATATAATAAGATTAACCCCTTAAGGACTGAGCCAAATATACACGTTGTGAATGAAACAAAATGTAAACAAAACCTGGCATTTGCGCTACATGTCTGTCCAACCGTAATTCACCTCTTTCATATTAAATGCACCCACCCTTATTATATATCATTTTATTCAGGGGAAACAGGGCTTTCATTTAATATCAAATATTTAGCTATGAAACATAATTAAATTTAAAAAAAATGGGAGAAAATAATTTTTTTATTTTTTTTTTTTAGTTCTACACGACATTTTAACTGTCAATGTCATAATACTGTTTGCTTTTACTGCAATAAAATACACATTTTAGGGGCTGAGCTTGCTTGCAAGGGAGAGCGGACGCCATTTCATGAAGCTCCGGTCAATTGCCTGTAATTTCCCCCAAAAAACGGATACCGACTCACCTCTCAGCAACGCAAAACCCGGCATCTGCCTCCCGGTGTCCTACCGATCAGACCCATGCCATTTTTTCATACACCAAAGGTCTCCCGATCGAAACGCAGGCCTGCGGCCTACTACTCACCTCCCGGAGCTGTGCTCAGCGCGCTACTCAGTAACTCCCAGGGAGTAAGATCTCCCGCTACGGAGCTCCACGATCCGACTGGGCAGGTTGGTAACGAACCGGCAATGGGACGTCGCACCCAGAAACAGATGGCTGGGGCCGCAGCAGACACCAGGGATATTGAATCCATGCTCCAACGGCCGCCCCAAGTTAAAAAGGCGACAGAGGCCCACCATGACACCTCACCAAGCCCTAGAGAGCTGTTCACCCCTACCTCACAGCCCCCAGAACCGGCAACACAGGCCTCACTAGACCTGCCCCGGGGGGTGACTGACCTGGCCACAAAGCTGGACATTCAAAACTTCCTCCATGAAATTAAACAAATGCTGACAGCAGACATAGCTGCAGTAAAAACGGAGGTACAGGCTGTGACAGACCGAGTCAGAGTTACTGAAGAGGATATCATGGATCTGCTCAGGGACCTTACAGCTACCCAGGATAGACTTACACAAGTCCAATCCTCCCACCAGACGCTCAATGCGCAACTAACCTCCATGGAGGATAGATACCGGAGGAACCATATTAAGATCCGCGGCATACCAGACACTGTTCCCTCAGAGGAAATACCCCACTATGTGAGACGCCTAGTGGCTGCGATATTACCTCCAAATCTGGCCAGGAAATTCACACTAGACGGGCATACCGCCTTCCGAAACCCCAACGGGCCACGACGGCTATACCACGGGACGTCATAGTCCGCTGTGCTACACTACAGGATAAGGGACAATTTATGTCTGCTGTTAGGGGTAAACCACCATACCCCTTTGAGAACTCCCATCTCTCCTTTTTTCATGACCTCACCAGAGCCACACTCCAGTGGCACAAGTCCCTCAGCATGGTAACAAGCCGGCTTAGAGACGCGGGTTTGGCCTACAGATGGAGCCACTCGAAGACACTCCTGGTGACCCACCAAGGAACTTTATACAACCTTTCATCAGCTACAGAAGCCCCAGCATTTCTCAGTGCTCTAGGACTCTCCCCACTGACTGCTAACGAAACTCAGCCACATAATCCGCAAACTTGGGATCTGGCCACAGTTGTCCCTTTAACCCCGCGAAGCACCTCTGATACCCATCGGGGAACCTGAGAGAAATGCAAAGAATCCACGCCTGGGGCCCTAATTGTTAGTGACTACTTGTTAATGCCTTTCTCTACTTACTTATTTTTATTTGCACGAGTTGTCCTTTTTTTTTTTTCTCTTGTATTTTGTTTTTATTATATTATTTTAATTTCAATGATTGCCCTCGCATCTGACAGGCCCTTATCAAGAGGTACAATTCCAGTCCGCTGTACCCACCAAAATTAAAGAGAATCCCTCTCCTCCCCCCGCCCCCTTGGTCAGTGGCAATACACATGCTCCACTGAGCTCAGCCTGGCATAACACTACAAAGCATGATCTCCTATAGAGCATCTACCGGAATATGCATATCAGCCATCTTGTCTAGACCAGTCTATAGCATTCTAGCACCCACACTACCATGCAGCACCCACTTGACATAACACCAAGGACTTTAGGCTAAGTATACACACGCTCACTTCACAGTGATAGGTCAAGCACCCTCCTAAATAACTGACAAGGCAGCTATTTGAATATACTCCTGCTAATACGGTGCTTGTGTCCTGACCATATAATACGCCTATTTATCTGCAACTATCTTAGCTGACCACGCAGTAGGGTCTAGAGTTTGACATGTTATATCCCATTCTGCACGAAAAGGTAGTGAATTCTATACCTGACTTCGTCATATGGCAGAATTGCAATGCTTATATATTTACGTAAATATTGTGCAGTTCCATCAATTGTCATGACACTAACTTAAATTTTATGGCAGGACAGGAGGCTTCATATTTGCTTCATATTTGCTTTACCTTCTTTACTGAAACCTCCAGCAGCAAAGAAACAGTTAACAGAACTTTTCAAAACAACCAATCAGAACAAAGCAACAGCAGTATAAAACCCCTAAGCAGGCTCTTCCACTTCCTCTTTCTTTGCTGCTGCCTCCAGGTGAGCACTCACCAACTCAGAGTTGTCTCTGCTCTTGGTTGTTGTTTTATCCTACATGCTGCTTGTTTATTTAAACAGTCTATTTAATCAGTCTATTTGTTAGGCTTGTTTAGGCAGCTTAATTGCTGGTTTTATTTAGGCAGGGTTCTTGCTGAATTTGTTTTAACAGTTCGTCTGCTGTGTTTATCTAGGCAGTCTATTACTGTGTTTAGGTAGGCAGTCTATTGCTGTGTTTAGCTAGGCAGTCTATTGCTGGGTTTAGCTAGGCAGTCTATTCTGTGTTATTTCCTATACCACTTCATGCTATGTAGCTGCTGTATTACTTTATTCTGTTTTCTCATTCTGCTGTATGGGGAATGGGTGCCCTTGCTATGATGCTTTGGCTCTGCCTGTAATCTGTTTCCCCTCCCTGGGTTCCCCTGCTGGGCTCTGTCGCCCATACCCTTCTCCCTTATTCCCCACCTGCTCCCCGTGGCCCCTGGCCGCTTGCTGAGCAGCTTTTTCTACCGTGGCAGTGCCGCACGATCACCACGCGGTAGGCCGCGCTCTGTTTTTGCAGCCACGGCAGCCATTTTGTTGGAGCCGCGGCGGCCATTTTTCAGAGCCACATGGGCTCTGTGCGTTGTGAACAGGCCTGCTGGCCATGTGGCCACCCTCCCCTCTCCCTATATCAGGGGAGATAGCCCAGTTTTTCAGCTATCCCTCTACTTATGCTGCATATGCCTGGATGTCATAGCAGCATCTGTCCCAGGCACGCTCACAACTGCAGCTTACTATGTCTGATGCAATGTGACTAGGTTCTCTATCTTAGCAGTAGACTTGTCACACTTTTTTACTATTACATGTGAATCTCAGATTTAAAGGGACATGTTACTGCTCAAATAAAAATCTTTGTTTAACAGGACTATGCCACATGTGTTATATGCTAATCAAGTCTTTCTCTAAGGTTCAGTCTTTTTCTCATAAAATTAAATGGCCTGTTTTTCAGCACCTAGCTCCCCTGCCTAGGATTTGCTGCCCTTCCTGCAAGGGACTTAAATTTTCCACTATACATACACTTCAAAAGTGTATCCTAATATAATACCTGAGTGGTCTGTGAGCCAGCTTCTCGCTATATGGACCCTCCTACCCCTCAGGGGGGCTACTGGCCCCACATTCAGACCTGTTATTACTGGGGGGTGAACCCCCCCCCCCCAATCCATATTTCTGAGGCTCTACCCGCTACTGGACCATAATAATGGACGTGTGACACCATTGTGGGCTGGGTGACCCCCTCCCTCTGGCAACATGGCTACCTATGAGTACCCTGCTGGCTCTACGGCGTCCTGTAAGATTAATGCTGAGGATGACCCCCTCCTGCTTCCTATACTAATGCTCCGGCAATGTCCTGCTATTATCATACCGAGGGGGTACCCCTCCTGCAGTCTGCACTGCTGAACCTGCAGCGTCCCGGTATTCCCATAAAAGAGGGTACCCCTCCCACTGATTGAGCTTCTGTTCTTACAGTGCCCTGCAATACGCAGATACTGAGGGTGACCCCCTCCTGTGGACTACTCTGCTGGACCTACAAGGTCCCGTTATAACCATAATGAGGGTGACCCCCTCTCGCTGACTACACTGCTGGGTGTACAGACCTCTATGATACCACACTGAGGGTGACCCCCTCTTACCTACAGCACTGCTGGATCTGCAATGCCCGGTTCTGGTTATACACTGCTCCTGCCATCTACACTGCTGGACCGGCAATGTCTGGTTACTTTATTATACTGCTAACCACTTCGGCACTACTGTACCTACAGTGTCCGATTATGTTCAGACTGAGGGTGACCCCCTCCCCTGCTGGCTTATACTGCATGGTATGCTTGTGCTTGTTGGGTGACCCCCTCTTGCACGCTGGGTGACCCCCAGCTGGCCGCACCACTGTACCTACAGTGTCCGATTATGTTCAGACTGAGGGTGACCCCCTCCCCTGCTGGCCTATACTGCATGGTATGCTTGTGCATGTTGGGTGACCCCCTCTTGCACGCTGGGTGACCCCCAGCTGGCCACACCAGGTATCATTCCGACAGTGTTACCTCTATGGCAGTTGTGCAATCACGGCTGAAGGACAAATCTCCCATACCCAGAAGGTCACTTGGCCTGTCCTCTTGCCGCCCCGCTGACCTCACTGCCAGAAACCATCGGTACCCTACGGGGTCACTCCACCGGCCAGCCTAGACGCTACACCAAGCACCCCTGGTACCCATTGGCTAACGGATGGATTCATCAAGTGGATCAGTCTTCATGACGGAGTCCGGAAAGGACACCGCAAACACCTGACACGGGGTTTGCACTCTATCTGGGACTAACCAGTGGATGTCGGTGACACGCGGACACAGATGTTTCCTCGGGACGAACGGTGCGTCACCGCTTGGAAAGCGGAGGAGACTAAATTCCCACTGGGAATGGACCGATATGACTTATAGGTATCGCCTAGTTGGTTTCTACCCCTGAGAACCACAAAACGGCCCCTGTCCAAGCTGGACATCAAACTGATGGATTTAGCATCCAAGTGCTGGGTCTGCTCTCCGGAGTTACCCTCGTGTACAAATTGAACTGACACGTTTCTATTCATAGGGTTCCCCCTTAACTAGCCCCAGAGGTCTCTCGGACCGTGCCCAGACTCCAGATTAAGGTTGCGGAACCTTGGACCGTTCCATGAGCGATACGCATGACCAAAAGAGGCATCCATTCCGACTCATTCCGCAGTTGCCCTGCTGGGCAAAGGGTGCGGTGGAGTGGACTCCCGCCCAATCCCCACGCTACATGCTCCCAGTGCATATGTCGTCTGTTGACACATTTTGAGATGGAGGGCACTCATCCCCTCTGAGAGCTGCTCGGTGTTGACGATTAGTTCTCTCCCTCAAATGCACATGAGAGAAACCCGCATGGATTTTGCCATCAACATGGACATATTGAATCTGACTCACTCCCAGTCAACCCAGTTTCCGGTCTTTCATGGAATATTCGGTCCAGGCGGTGCTCCGCCTCCCGAGGACCAAGATGTCCGTCTTCAAGGAAAATACCAGGTATATGCTCCGCAACCCGCGGGTTACACTTAGGGGCCCAACCCGGTTAATTGACCGGTGCCTATTCGCCATGGAAGCCATACCTCCTGGATCCGGTACTATCAGCCGCTCCAACATGGCGCTTTCTCAGGTCTTCGGCCTGGTATGACCAAATCATGTGACCTTCGGATGAAGCTCATCTAAAACTTAATTGATGACTCCGGAGGAGGGACTCCTTTACGCCAACTGCATGGAACTACCTGCAGGTTTGTTCAACATTCACAGTATTGCTCGCTACCTTCCGGCATGGACTTCTCACCGGTTGCCCACTACGGACTGCAGTCGGATCTCACATAGGATCGCTATCTATAGCTTCTGGACAAGTATTCGTCATTTGTGACAGAATGTATACGGGACGAGACACTCATGTGGCGGACGGCTTCACCCGACCATGGAGAGACCCAATGATTGGTTGCCTCACCCTCCGGGGTCTCGAGTACTGGCATGATTACATTCGGTGCGAACCGCCATACGGAGCGGTTCTCCAACTGGCTGCCGTACCCTGGGCGAGGGACGAGTTTTCCAAGCTTGGTCTCCTTCGGGGCGTACGCATCCCGTTTACCTACAGGATACTTTGGGTTTCGCTTCAGACCGAATTCCTGGAAGTGTCGTTTCGCCTGGCCAAACCACTTCGGAGGAGTCCTGCGTGCTTTCCCCTTTTTGCTGGAGTTTGCCATGGGAAGGCAATCTACGACTCCCTGTCTCTTAATGTCCCACGTGGGATCCACATGGGTAGCCTGCCACGACTGGTGTTCGGGTCCCAATGGCGGTCCTTATCATGGTTGTCCCCATTGTCTGGCTGAGTTGCCCTCTCAGGGTAGGATCGTATGGGGCCATTCACGTCCTATGTCAGCTAGTGGACGACTCATGTGCGTTTTCTCAAGATTCTGGCATTACTAAGGATCTCTTGGTCTGCAGTCTACCAAGAGGAGTATTCCGTACGGGAGCCCTATCTCTCGCTATTCCTCAAGTCTAGTGGTATCGTGTGTTCTGCATTTCATTGAGGAATGACATTGAGGAATGACCTGATGACAAGGTGCACCAGTTTTTTCCGCTTACGGTTTCCCCCCAGTACATCTTGCATTTCATCGCGTTCTGACGCCATGGTATCGACGTGTCTTCTTCCTTCTTGCCGTTCAGTACATCGGCTTCTGCTCCACACATATTTCATTTTTATTCGTCCTCTGTGTCGTACCCCTATTCTCCGGATAGGCCACAGCTCTGTTGACAGATTGTACACGACCATGTAGATCCAGGATCTGGTTCTTTCGTCCGTCTACTCATGGACAGCTGTTTATTTCTGCGTAAGGCCATTTTGGACTGTTTCTGCATCTTCGCTTGCCCGTTGGATTTGGTGGATCCTCTCATTGACTGACCTTGAGTTCCTCTGGGACACTTTTGGTTCGGGGTGCTGTCACCTCAACAATTTTGGAAGCCGTTGGGTCCCTTCTACATTTTCTCTACACCGCTGCTTGGTTTAGGGAATCAGTTTTTCCATTCTTCTTTATTTCAGTCCTCTATCTCATATTGCTTCTGGTTCTACTATTTGGGCGTTAAAATTGCAAATATGAAGCCTCCTGTCCTGCCATAAAATTAGGGATTATTCTAGCCTCGGTGAGGGAATAATCTAAATTTTATTAAAGACAGGAGGCGAATATTTCCCCCCCTTTTTTTTACGTTCCCTCCCTGGATCTCGGTTTTATTCTATTATAAATAATTGGGGATATTGTTATGTTTTGTGAATTTTACATAATAAAGGTTATTTCTAATATTCAGTGATGGTTGTCCGTGTGCGTTTATTCATCATGTTTGTGTTGTAATTATGTTTAGTCGATGCCTTTTAGCTTAGGTACATACAAGGTCTTCATAAGATCTGTAGACTTTGTTTATTCATCAGGTATTATGATGTGAAAGTGATATTGTATGGATATGACATCTTGCCTTGACAGTTTACTTTCACAATGTTTTCTGTTTTCTTGCAGTGTAATCTGTTTTCTCTCTGGGCTTGACGATTGTTTCTCTGGATGTGTCTCCTACAAGGTGGATTCGTTGGTTTCCTTGCTCTCCTGCTCGACCTCATCAAAGAAAGAGGAAGTGGAAGAGCCTGCTTAGGGGTTTTATACTACTGTTGCTTTGTTCTGATTGGTTGTTTTGAAAAGTTCTGTTAACTGTTTCTTTGCTGCTGGAGGTTTCAGTAAAGAAGGTAAAGCAAATATTCGCCTCCTGTCTTTAATAAAATTTAGATTATTCCCTCACCGAGGCTAGAATAATCCCTAATTGTTTAATGTTTCTGTGCAACTGTAGAGTTCATCTCACCAAATGTCTAGGGCAGGCTTCCCCAAACTCCGGCCCTCCAGATGGTACTGAACTACAACTCCCATGACTCTCAGCCTATCTATTTCATTCATAGAATCATGGGAGTTGTAGTTCAGCAACATCTGGAGGGCCAAAGTTTGGGGAAGATTGGTCAACACAGCATGTGAAATATACCCCCACTATAAAACAGAATATAGAATATTCTCTGTGGTTGAACTTTTGTTATAATCTAACAACAACTGAGACATTAATGGAACAAAGGTAATTCAATACAGGATTAACAGTTTATGAATCCACACCACTATTTCTAATTTTATAAATAAAATCAAGGTCAGGATTAATATGAGATTACAGAGATATATTTTTGAACATCAAACAAAAAAAAGGCAAAATTAATCAATGGAGATGTCATAATGAGATGAATTACATCTAAACGTCTCAAGTCAGAACAATTTTGGTCCTGGGTTAAGCAAGATTATTTGTTGCATAGGCAGGGGTGGAGTTTGCTCATTTAACAAGTAAGTGGTGGCTATGATGTTCCAATATCTTACCCTAGGTTTGAGAACAATGTGGATAAGGCTCATCATGATCATAAATAACATCCTATAGATGGGAGACAAAAGTAAAAACTTGGGACAATCCTCCATTTAAAAAAAAAAAAAAAAAAAGTCTTCAATGTAAAGGATTTGGGATCAGTTCCCGAAAAGTCTGCATAGGTAGAGGGGATAGAATACACAATCAACAGATTCACAAAAGTCAAGGACTAGCTTTTCAGGAAAACCATAACTTAAAAATACAAAGCAAGTGAATACAAACAAAGATCAAAAGCATAAGACAAAACAAATGAACTAACAAAGCTGTTTATGGAATGCCCACCAGATTCTTATTCGGCTCAAATATATACAAAAATGAAATCAGCTAGATGTATCTTTACTTTTTTTCTGCATTGTTCTCCTTTTTCTTTTTGACATTCTACGTTATGTACACTTTCTAAGAATGTTTCTATAATTGATACATTTTAGATACAATGTAATTTCTCACTTCTGTGAGGTTCGGTCCTACAAGAAGTTTTCCTTTCGTTCTAAAACACACTTGAATCTCAGTAGAAATGTCAGTGCTCCGGTGCCTTCATAGCAATCATCATTAAGTTGAAAGCTGCTGTTATGTATTTTTCTCCCACTTCACTGATTTTGTTTTTTTTTAGCAATTTGTTTTTTTGTTGCTTGAGGAGATATTTGTATTTACCTGTTTGTTTCTTCTATCTATCACGACTCCCTTTAATGATATGTTCCTACCCATTGGTTTCTAATTTCCAAACAAACACCACCTCTGGGTCATAACCCACCTGTTATATGATGATGTGATTTTCCCAGATATATTAAGGT